TCAAGGGAAGTTGTCATGGGATCCGGGCATCGGGGCCCTTCTCTATTTCTTCGTATTTTTTGCTCAAACTGAAGTAACAGGAAGGAGGAATCTTGCAGCTCCAGCTTTCTACTCAGACAATGCATGTGTCGACCACCCCTACTACCTCGACGCATTTTGTGACCAAGTGAACATCAGCGACGACTACTTCCTTGAGCAAGTCGGCGTTTTCTACTCCCTCAATCTTGCCAAGTTCCACCTCAACTATGGCACCCACCGCGACCTGGGCGAAGTCATGAAGCATCAAGTAACATGGGATCCAGGAGGTTCGACATGGCATCGGCTTGAGGTCAAGCCGGATTTCAAGGAAGGGGGAATGTTAGCGACCGCCCCTACTCTCGTCATGGGCTGGACTATTGGGCGCGCATATTCGGCCTGGGCTACTGGAAGGCAGCGACTACAAATACAAGTGAACAGGCTACGGACTACTCGGCTAGGATTTGGACGGCTTCGGCCTCCTCTGCTTCTGTATCTTCTTCCTCTCGTGTTCCTCTCCTCCTCTATACTAGCTAAACCTTGGTGAATCCATGGCTTGTAGTTCAAATCCTTGAGCAATTGATCTCTGTACTAGTGTGTTGCTAACATTCTTCCATCATGTTGCATACAAATCCCATTTGAACAACATATTAATTCGGAACTTAATATATCTAATGCATATATTTTAACAACATTTCAAATTCAAAGACAACACAGAGCCCAAATGAAGTAATTATACAAATAAAACATGACAAAATGCACAACAATCAAGTGACGTGAAGTTGCCACAAGTGCTAAGCAAGATCATCTGGAGTTGGCGATGAGTTTCTTGCTTCTCGATCCCATGTTGTGAGGAATCTTTGGATCATGGTTGCTTCATGTTCTGGCTCCACATGTTCCCAATTGTAGACGTACCTAAGGTCCCCCCGTTGACCTTTCTCATCCTCAGTGATCATGTTTGTGCAAGATTGTACTTGTTGTCATGATATCCCACAATATCTTTGGGTTTCAGTGCTCAACGGGGTCACCTAATATCGCAAAGCAAGCATGAAGCACCCCAAAAACTCTCTCAACATTCTTTCACATAGATTTTTTTCACTTTGTAAAGTGAGATTTCTTGTTGCCCTCCGAATGTTCAATTGCCTTCACAAATGTGACCCATGAAGGGTAGATGCCATCATCAAGGTAGTAGCCAATGTTGTACAGTTGTACTTGTTGTGGGAATCATTGGGCTTTTAGCCCATTTATTGTTACCAATAATTTTTGATAATCCTAGAGGCCCATGTGGCCCATTCATGCATGACAAGGGTTGTATGAAGTTTAGTCCCACCCTGGTTGGGGAGGAGGCTTTGGACCAACATATAAGGTTGGATGGTCTCACACACCCCTAAGAGACTGAGAAGAGGGCACATACACGTGTGCTCCTCCTCCGTCACCCATCTGACACGTGCGTTGTGAATGAGCCGAGCCAGGTAGTCGTTTCTCTTCCTCTCCCTGGTGGGCCAGTTGCAACCCATCTATAAGGGCGATCCTCCATAGATACCAACGTATTATATCGCATGCCTCTGGGTTCCAAACGTTGTGTCGCCTGCCACTTTCCCATCTTGCTCCTTGGCGCACACCTTGAAGAGAGACAACTTGCCTTTGAAACCCTGCCTCTTGTGATCTTGTACAGCAGAGGGGTGGTCACGGTCTTTGGGAGCACTTCCATGCGACTACTGGATTCTTCATCACCGTGGTTGCGGACGACAACTTCTCGACGTCGATAACCTCCTCAAAGACATGGCGATCTATGCACCTGGTTCTTCTTCCACCACGTCGTACGTTCTCATATCCCTTATGTTAGGGATTGTTTCTGGATCTCGTGCCAACAATCGATATGGATATGATGTTTGTCTTTTCTGTATCCGATTGGATGACTAGTTACATCACTATGCTTCTTGATTCGGTTATCGTGGTTATCATGTCTTACTACTATTTTCCTAGATTCAACTTATTGGAAATGTTCAAATCTTCAACACTCGTGACCATTGAGTGTTGGGGAATGCACTAATTTCAAAAGAAAATCCTACACACACGCAAGATCTATCATGGTGATGCATAGCAACGAGAGGGGAAGAGTCTTGTCCACGTACCCTTGTAGACCGTAAGCAGAAGCGTTATGAAAATGCGGTTGATGTAGTCATACGTCTTCACGATCCGACCGATCCTAGTACTAAAAGTACGGCACCTCCGCGATCTGCACACGTTCGGCTCGGTGACGTCCCACGAACTCTCGATCCAGCTGAGTGTCGAGGAAGAGCTTCGTCAGCATGACGGCGTGATGACGGTGATGATGAACCTACCGGCGCAGGGCTTCTCCTAAGCACTATGACGATATGACCGAGGTGGATTATGATGGAGGGGGGCACCGCACACGGCAAGGGATCAATGATCAACTTGTGTGTCCTAGGGTGCCCCTACCCCCGTATATAAAGGAGAAAGGGGGGAGGCCGGCCGGCCCTTAGGGCGCGCCAAGGAGGGGAGGACTCCTCCTCCTAGTAGGAGTAGGACTCCCCCTTTCCTAGTCCAACTAGGAGGAGGAAGGGATAAGGAAAGGGGGGCGCCGCCCCCCTTCCCTAGTCCAATTCGGACTAGAGGGGGAGGGGCATGCGACCCTTCCTTGGCCGGCCCTCTCTCTCTCCACTAAGGCACATGTGGCCCATTAGTTCCCCTAGGGGGTTCCGGTAACCCTCCGGCACTCCGATTTTCTCCGAAATCACTCGGAACACTTCCGGTGTCCGAATATAGCCGTCCAATATATCAATCTTTATGTCTCAGCCATTTCAAGACTCCTCGTCATGTCCGTGATCACATCCTGGACTCCGAAATATCTTCGATACATCAAAACACATAAACTCATAAAACTGATCGTCACCGAACGTTAAGCGTGTGGATCCTACGGGCTCGAGAACTATGTAGACATGACCGAGACACGTCTCCGGTCAATAACCAATAGCGGAACTTGGATGTTCATATTGGCTCCCACATATTCTACGAAGATCTTTATCGATCAAACTGCATAACGATATACGTTGTTCCCTTTGTCATCGGTATGTTACTTGCCCGAGATTCGATCGTCGGTATCTCAATACCTAGTTCAATCTCGCTACCGGCAAGTCTCTTTACTCATTCCATAATGCATCATCCCGTAACTAACTCATTAGTCACATTGCTTGCAAGGCTTATAGTGATGTGCATTACCGAAAGGGCCCAAAGATACCTCTCTGATACTCGGAGTGACAAATCCTAATCTCGATCTATGCCAACTCAACAAACACCATGGAGACACCTGTAAAGCATCTTTATAGTCACCCAGTTACGTTGTGACGTTTGATATCACACTAAGTGTTCCTTCGGTATTCAGGAGTTGCATGATCTCATAGTTATAGGAACATGTATAAGTTATGGAGAAAGCAATAGCAACAAACTAAACGATCATCGTGCTAAGCTAACGGATGGGTCAAGTCAATCACATCATTCTCTAATGATGTGATCCCGTTAATCAAATGACAACTCATGTCTATGGTTAGGAACCATCATTGATTCAACGAGCTAGTCAAGTAGAGGCATACTAGTGACTTTCTGTTTGTCTATGTATTCACACATGTACTAAGTTTCCGGTTAATACAATTCTAGCATGAATAATAAACATTTATCATGATATAAGGAAATATAAATAACAACTTTATTATTGCCTCTAGGGTATATTTCCTTCATTGAGAACATAGTTGCAAGGTGGAGTTTGGCCAGCAGCAAACCTTGCGAATAGAGATCTCTGCAGAACATTGATGTCATTGTGAGAGTCAGGCTCCAAAGTACGATGTAATTGCTTCAAGAATTATGGTTGGATCATGGCAAGGCCCTCTATATGGCCCATGCCATGTGGCATGACAAATCTTTCATGTCCAATGCATCAATCAATGGGTTCAAACATCCTTGGCCATCCGATTCACCTAGAGCCATGAGCCTTGCATGTCTTCATCATTGGGTGCCCTTAAGTACTCTGGTACAAAATTCTCGATCACGACTTACTTGAATCTAATCACACACTCAAGGATGATATCTTCTCCAATGCGAATGTACTCACGATGTAGTCAATCGCAATTCCATATGCAAGCACTCACACTACCACGGTATACTTCATCAATGGAGTTGAATCACTCCAAGAATTAAATCTTGCAGCGAAGTGGATGGGTGTTGGATGGTAGAATGCCGACTCGTAATTTGAGTTGTCAGAACTAACAACATAAATGAGGAGTGAATTATGTGACTCCTCGTCACAAAGATTTACTACAATCATTTAGCTTCAGACAACGGATTTGGTACGTGTCAAGGATAATCACCTGTCGATGTAGACATGTAGTAGAATCAATTTATTGGCAGTTGGATGTCGATGGGCACAATTGTGCATTTTCACTTCTTTGTTGCGATGAACCGGTTCATCGGATACTCCGAGGACAAAATGGATTTGGGAGCCAAGGAATTTCTGAAACACAACTTTATATGCCATCAATTAAGTTGTTCTCCCTTCCCTGTCATGACCTCTACCAATCGGCATCATATTCTCCGGTTTGGCCATTATACTTACCATAGAATCCATACCTTCTCTACTCCTCCTACCTTTGAACAAAGTTGGGAATCCATATCGTCTCTGTCCATCACCCATCACCACAAGATGGGCATGTAACAAATGTAAAGTACTCTCCCCGTTCCAAATCAATTGAAGTTCTAGTTTTGTCCAAAGTCAAACTTGTTTAAGTTTGACTGTTTCTATAGAAAAATATATCAACATCTACAACATCAAATTAGTTCGCACCATATATATTTGATGCAACAAGTTCAACCCAGGACAAATCTATAACTTCATTTTATCTGGAGCAGAGGGAGTAATTTAGTAGAGGTTGATTACAAAACACATAGAAGTTTCTCAAGGAATTTTTAAAATGTTACTTGCAACAGAAGCTTTGTACCCAAAAGACGACATTGAGAAGCTTCGTACCCAAGCTTCGAGGTTGGATTTGCAGATTGAGCCGGAACAGCCCCAACGCCACAAGCATATCGGCGGCGATGTTCTTAGCAGCAACATCTGGCTGCAGACGCTGCGATCAAAATTCAGAAGAGCCCTGGGCATTCCGGCTTTTCCAATGAAAAGTTCCCAATTAATTCAAAAAAATCTGGCTCCAGACGTTGCGATCATGGAGGTAATGAATTCAAAAAATGTTACGCAGTTTTGGCCTTTTGGGAGATGCTAACACTATGTAGAAGTTCATGCTCTAGTCAATCCAACCAAAAGACCGATTTGATGGAAGAGATTATTAGGCAATACATTTATACGTCAACACACCGAACGTCAAATTTCTTGATTCTTTGCTACCATACTTTAGGTGAAGAAGAACATGTTCCTGTACGCCTAGCTTTATGGAAAGCAAAGCAGTATGCCTACTGATCTCTCAAGAGAGAGCATCCAGTTCCGTTCTCCACTTACATTTCTCATCATCATGTATACTACAATCCTGCCAGCTGCCATTTTGGCTGGACCTGCCCTTTTTTTTTCACCAGCTACTTTAACCCATATAAGTACACTTGTTCTTAGAAGATTAGCTAGCTGCTCATCTTACCACTTACCACCTGCTGCACATATCTGGAGTGGAGGCAAACATGGTACACTAGTGATCTCACCAGTATTCAGTTTCATTTTCAGTCAAGCAAATCGGATTCTCATCACATCTGAACTCTTAGTTAGTCCTCCTTTCATGTTTGTTTGTACTTACGTTCTTCTGTAAACATTCCTTAAAAATTCTAAAAAGCTAGCCTTGTTTTGTCCCGAGAAAATATATAGATTTTGGTTTAAAAAAAGCATTCACTCCGTTGCTGAAATTCCAAGCTGCACCGTTTGTTTCAGCAGCAGCAGCAGCCGCCGCCGCCTCCGAGGAAGATGGTCGCGTCCAAGAAGCTCATGAAGGTCGGGCCTTGGGGCGGCACCGGGGGCAACCCGTGGGACGACGGCGGGCACACCGGGATCCGCGGCGTCACCCTGTCGTACGACCACCGCTGCGTCGTCTCCATCGCCGTGCAGTACGACAGGAGCGGCCTTGCCGTCCCCGGCGAGCGGCACGGCGGCGCCGGAGGCAACCACACCACCCAGGTTGGTACTTGGTACGTACGTCGATACACTCGATCGGCAAGATCACCTTCACAGCCGTGCTTTTTCTTGACTGGACTGCTGCGTGCGTATGCGTAGATCAAGCTGAGCTTCCCGGACGAGCACCTGACAGCCGTGAGCGGCCGGTACGGCGCGGTGGCGCCCGGCGGCTCGCCGGTGATCCGGTCGCTGGCGTTCAGGACGGAGCGCGCGGCGTACGGGCCGTTCGGCGCCGCGGAGGGCACGCCGTTCGAGTTCGCGGTGGAGGGCGGCGTGATCGTGGGGTTGTGCGGGCGGAGCGGCTGGCAGCTGGACGCCGTCGGGATGTACGTGACGCCGCTGCGGCCGGAGAAGCTGTATGATAAGGTGCAGAAGCTGGGGCTCATGGCCTACCGCTCGGTCATGCACCGTCTCGGGCCGGCGCCGGCGCCGCCGCAGGACGAGCTGCCGGAGGCGAGAGTGCAGCATCAGCATCAGAACGGCAGTGTGGTTCAGACAAGTCGCAAGAATTACTAGTGGTCACTGGTCAGTGTGTCATTAGCTAGAATGGCAAATTCATGGCTGCATCTCTGTTGTGCATATGATTGATTCAGCTACTCCCTCCGTTCCAAATTACTCGTAGTGGTTTTAGTTCAAATTTGTACTAAAACCACGACGAGTAATTTAAAACGGAGGGAGTAGTATATATGAAACCAAAAATATATGCTTAATACAGGAGATTTACTACGGCCACAATGACTTTAACACGTCACCGGTATTTAAACAGTTGGAGTTTGACCGGCTTAAGCTTGCGCCGACGTTGTCAACATTTTCGGACCCTCTCGCTGCTTTTTTTTTTTGAGAATACGTCAATGGCGTATCATATTTTTATAGAAGATAAAAAACGTATTTACAAGATGTGTGGCGCGAATGCGGACATTCAGTGCACACGATTACACCAACACCAACCCCACCCAAGAGAAATTTAGACTAAGTCCTCACAAAACGTTGTAACCTTCCAACACCGCCCACTGCTTGCCGCCATTCTCTACCTCTCGTAAGGTACAAATGACGAGCTCCGAAGGTGCCTTTTGCGGTTCCATCCTATTGAAGACACTCGCGTTCCTTTGCTTCCACAACACCCATAGGACCGCGGTTACCAAGGTGTCAAAGCCTCTCCTATCCGCCTCTTGGAAGCTCTGTCTCATTCTTAACCACCACTACAGAGTAGTCTCAGTGGAGGACCCTCTCGCTGTCAGATGAGGAGGATAATGATCCCAAACATGATGACAAGTATTTTTTTTTTTGCGAATATGATGACACGCATTTCTTCCACCTGGTTAATGACACAACCAAAATAGACTTAACTGATACTGTACATGATACCCCCTTCAATCCATATTAATTGGCATTGGTCTAGTACAACTTTAGTACAAAGTTATACTAAACTCGTGTCAATTAATTTGGATATAGGAGGGAGTACCATGTTATGTGAGCTTATAGCGTGTGTAACAAAAAACAAGTGTACTTCAGCAAAGAGGATGAAGGTTTCTAAATTTGATAATGGTTCATCATGAGAGGCATATGCTTCGAAATAGTAGAAGTCTTGGGTACTTGGCTAAGCACAAACGCATTGCGATTATGTAAGGGATAATGTGTTAGGCTTTCTGGGTATAATCAAGCCAGGTAAACATGATTTCCAGACACGTGATCTAGACCTTTTTCGTGAGGCCATGATTGTGTATGGCATGTTTTATCCGTCTGGGAGGTCCGTAGAAGTTTGTTGGGCATCCACTCGACATTGGAACTTTTATTAGGTGAATATACTATTAAGTTTCACTTCCGAAATAAGTCTGGTAATTTCCTATGGAGCCTGATGGCCATTTATGGTGCCGCTCAAGAGGAGTTTAAGTCTGCTTTTCTTACAGAATCCCTCCTTAGTAAGTCACCCTAGTTCGAATTTGAACTAGTGATTGAAAAGATTCTAAAGAGTATCAACTAGAGAGTCCCTGTAAGTGAAAACACCTTCCTTGACTTTTGAGATCGGTCCCAAGATCATCTTTGAGGTTTCCAAAGAGCTAACACGACCATACTATCCTTCGATCAGATGACCACATATGATGCTCTTCGCCTGGGCATCAAATTGTAGTTGCCTTTTGACTTCACTGCAGGGGTTTGATAGTTGGGTTAACCTTGCAAGTAATCTACCGCAGTGAAAGAAAGCAGAAAAGGCTTGTATTATGTTGTTGCTACTAGGGATAAAAACATGACTGCGTAGTTGTCCTTTGAACGCATGGTGAAGACAATATATCATCTACTTCATGTCATCTTACTTATTGCAATACTCTATTTTTACTTAATACTTTAAGATGTATGCTCGATATATAGCAGTCTTGGGTTGAGTATTACATATAGATGCAGTTGGATAATGGTCTATCGATATTGGGATGTGATGCTCATAAATTGAAAGAGCGTTTATCAACTAGAGGGGGAGGGGTGAATGGGAGGGTTTTATCAAATTCTTTGAAAGAAGCTAATTCCTCGAAGAAGAATAGAGTAAACAGTCACATGCAAAATAGTCCAAAACAAAGTTATGTAAAATAGATCAAGGCAGGCAAACTAACTTAGAGTAAGCTAGACAGAAGACAAAACTAAACATGATATAAGGTAGTGCAAAGCATTAGATGCATTTACATAAATTTTGCAATTTAATCGATATGCAACTGTAATTTGTTCACCACACCATGCTATATTTTCGAGAGAAACCGCTAGTGAACCTCCGGATCTCGGTCCAAGCAACACTTTCTTTTAGTTTTTCTAATTACTTTCTTGTTACAATTCATTCTTTCATACACTCGTTCTTTTTCATATTTGTAACTAGCAAAACTAGTGAGATTGACAATCTTGATAGTTTCGTTGGAGCCAATATAATGTTGTATCTATATGTGCAGGTGTTATCATTGGTTGTGTACTCAAACTCCCTTTGGTTCAACAAACCCTTACTTGGGGGCCTAAAACCCTCCTAGTTTGGGATGGAGGGAGCTGATTTATCTCAGGAGTTTTGCGGGAATGACGTTTTTAAGACCCGGGGAAGACTGTCATATAAGAATGAAGTAGATGCAAGAGCTTAAGTTTAGGGATGTCCAAGGCAACCCGAAAATTTCTCGATCAACAATCATCAGTTAGTTTTGTTTGGAAATAGACCAGGACGAAATCCCTGCACGGCTTGTGGCATCTCCTGTGTTGGTTTTCAATATTTTGGGTGTGGTGTTCATTGGTTGCAAATTCACAAAAATATAGTTAGAATGATAGACGTGGCACTCTTAGTTCACTTTTTGTATCATAGTATAATGGAAGAGTTTGGCGACTTATCCAGATAGTTACGATTACTTCAGCAATCAGGAGTGTCAAACTGTCAAAGGCAATTATATGGCTTGTTTTCCAGAATAATCGGAATCTGTAGTTTCCAAGGTAATATTTTCGTTATGGAGTCAGAGACTTTGTATAACGTCACATGTTTGTGTTATTTCAATGTTGGAAATTTTAAGATCAAGCAGACCAGAAGATAAATAGAAGATGCAGCATGTGCAAATCCAACAGCAGGCACCACCAATTTTAACAAGCAGCGATCACCAGTGCAAATCAAACAATAATTATAGATCGACACAAACCATCCTTCTAACACTGTCAGGGTACAAACTAGGGCGGGTTTGTAACATGGTTCCTCCAAGGGTCTCACTTATGACTCAAAACTGTCGGAACAGACATGGTAACATGTGCACTGAAAGGCAATCTCAATGAGTTTACAGCTTAGTTGGCTGCCTGTTCTTCTTCTTGATTCCAGACTTGGAAACCTGGAGGCTGCGGTACACGGCGCTCAGCCTTGCAAGGGCCGGCTTGGTCAGATCAGGCCTGTAGTAGTTGTCGCAGACCTAGAGAACAGAAGAACAACCCGTTAAAGCCAAAACAATTCTCAGGGCATCTTCAAGTCAAAAGGTAATGAAATTATCTTCCAATTAAGGACAATACATTATGTAGATGAATAACAGGAAAACTGATCCGAAGGTTGAGCTCAGAAGCCAAGCGTAAAAATAATATTTCATCGGTGAACCAATTGATCGGTTGGTTTCCTTATGAGTTACGACTCGTCACAGCAATACCTTAAACCAGTAGTCAAACCAAAGCAAACAGTGTGTAGTTCAAACTCAGAAGCCAAGCGTAAATGAATATTTCACTGAAAGAACCCAATTGATCGGTTGGGACTTCTGAAGTGTTACGGCTCATCACAGCAAACAAATGGGTCAGCAACAAAACACAAACACACAAATAAAACAGATACTGTAACAAGTTCTGCTCAGAAGCCAAGCGTAAAAGAATATTTCACTGAAGAACCCAATTGATCAGCTGGGTCTTCTGAAGAGTTACGGCTCATCACAGCAAATATTTGGTCAGCAAAATCAAAACACAAACACACAAATAAAACAGATCCTTTAACAAGTAAAGCTCAGAAGCCAAGCGTAAAAGAATATTTCACTGAAGGACCCAATTGATCGGTTGGGACTTCTGAAGTGTTACGGCTCATCACAGCAAATATTTGGTCAGCAAAATCAGAACACAAACACACAAATAAAACAGATCCTTTAACAAGTAAAGCTCAGAAGCCAAGCGTAAAAGAATATTTCACTGAAGAACCCAATTGATCAGCTGGGTCTTCTGAAGTGTTACGGCTCATCACAGCAAATATTTGGTCAGCAAAATCAAAACACAAACACACAAATAAAACAGATCCTTTAACAAGTAAAGCTCAGAAGCCAAGCGTAAAAGAATATTTCACTGAAGGACCCAATTGATCGGTTGGGACTTCTGAAGTGTTACGGCTCATCAAAGCAAAAAAATGTTCAGCAACAAAATACAAACACACAAATAAAAGAGATTCTCTACCAGTTCAGCTCAGAAGCCAAGCGTAAATTAGTATTTCATTGAAGGGCCAATTGATCGGTTGGGACTTCTGAAGTGTTACGGCTCATCACAGCAAAAAAATATTCAGCAACAAAATACAAACACACAAATAAAACAGATTCTCTACCAGTTCAGCTCAGAAGCCAAGCGTAAATTAGTATTTCATTGAAGGGCCAATTGATCGGTTGGGACTTCTGAAGTGTTACGGCTCATCACAGCAAAATTTTGTTCAGCAACAAAATACAAACACAAATAAAACAGATTCTCCAACAGTACAGATGAGAAGCCATGCGTAAATTAGTATTTCACTGAAGGACCAATTGAACGGTTGGGCTTATTATGAGTTACGACTCACCAAAGCAAAAAACTTGTTGGCAACAAAACACAAACACAAAAATAAAATAGATTCTTTAACAAGTTAGCTAAGAAGCCAAGTATATAAAATAGTACTCACTGAAGAACCAATTGATCAGTTGGTTTTCTAATGTTTACGCCTCACCACAGCAAAATCATAGGGTGGCTAATTAAACACAAACATACAAAAAAAAACCTAGCAGGTTCAGCTCAGAAGCCAAGCGTTAATGATATTTCATCGAATAACCAATTGATCACTTGGTATTCTTATTGTTACGGCTCATCACAGCAATACATTGGCTCACCAATGAAACCCAAAGACCAAAACAGACTTAACTTGACAGAGATACATCTTAAATCTTACGGTACATGTGTAAAGCATGTGAACAGACAAGAGTTGTAGCTTAGAATCCAAGCATAAGTGGAATTCAAGTACAAAAAGCTGGAGTTAATACCTGGTTCTTGACGGACTTGGCCATCTTGCGGAACTCCTTGCGCATCAGAGTCTTGTGCTGGAGCTTGGCAGGGGTGTTCTGCTTCTTGGTCTTGGTCGTGGACAGGACGACAGCCTTGTCCTCTCCTGCAGAGGGCTGGACCGCCACGGTCTTGCTGTTCGCCAAGCCTGAAAACCACATCAACACAACAACAAGTTAGCTCCTTGCAGACACACTCACAAACACATCAATTGGGTAAAAAACAGAGCAAAGAGCTACGGACCGGAGAACTTGTAGGAGTGGACATTGTAGAGGTTGTTGGGCTCCTTGCTGAACTGCACCTTGGCGTTGCTGTTGCCGAACTGCTTGATCAAGAAGCAGTTGTTCTTCTTCACCAGCTCCCAGACCAGAGACCCCGGAACGGTAGTCATTTCCCTTGGCCTACATCACCAAAACAACACCCAAACGTCAGTCAGATCATACAGCTAGCAACAAGCAACAGGAGACAATAATCCTACAGAATCAAGGCACCATTCGACCATTTGACGCAAAAATGGACGCTGATTTACAAGGGGAAACATGGGTTACAAAAAATATACCGCACAAGCATCAGTGAAGCTTGAGCGTCCCAACGACTACTGACAAGAGGAAATCATAGTGCGCGGTTCTAACGCGGGTTTGGATCTAGCCTAAGGACGAACCGCCTACGCAAAAGAGCTACTCCAAACACTTCCAGCGGAGATGCTATAACAGCGGACGAGATCATGAACCGCGGAACCTAGAACCAGCATGGGTTCGACGGGGTGATGCGGCGACGAATCTAAGCAGGCAGCGATTCGAGCACCTAGATCTGTACACGAGGGACGTGAGGGGAGAAAGAGATCCACCGCTTACAGGAGGTGAGGTCGCCGCGGCGCCGCCTTGGTCTGCTCCGGTGGGTTGGGGGTGGTGGTGGCTGCGGAAGGTTGGAACAGCCCGGAGCTCGGCGCTTTATACTCGGCGGCGGCTCATAAAACCCTAGGTTGGGTGCACGCTTTGTGTGGTCAGTTGGGCCGGAGGCCTCTAGCCCATTTTAGCTTTGAACCCAGTACACATCGGCCCGAACTAAATACTGGCCCATACACATCGCAATGCGATTGGCACAGCCCAAAACGAAGTGGAGCCATTCATGTAAGCTCGTCTTTCCAACTCAAAAAAAAATGTAACATCGTCTTTCTTGACTAATAAAATGCAACCTCGTCTTCCATCCCTAAAAAAATGTAACCTCATCTTCCTCCCTTCAAAAAGAAAATAAAAATACAACGTCATCTTTTTCCCTACATCTTTTCCGTCAAACAGGGTCCCATCAAAAGAAAAAAAAAACAAGGGTCCCATCAAAAGAAAAAAAAACAAGGGTCTCATGAAAGGCAACAAAGCAACTCTTTTTTTTTTTCCTCTACAACCTCTCTGTCAAAGTGGTTCCAGCACGTCAATCATAAGAGTGTATAAAAATGGGAGATTAACGACGAGACAATCACCAGCTGCTGCTACCTGCGGAGGAATAGGCAATGGCTATGGAAGGAGGACCAACGTCCACCAAGTTCATCGCCGCCGCCTAAACGGAACAGGGGTGGAGTCATGGTGCCAAGCATTCTTTGCCTTGGCCAGACAAATCAAGAACAAGTGACAATGGCACGCATTCGATCAAAAGGGTAACAACGGCCTTCCATGCATTCACTTTCTTACAACTTGGAATCACTGAAACAACAAGTCCATCTCATTGCACTATGGTAAAAATAGGTTCAGACACAATGATTATTTTGGCCGAGATCCGACTACATCCCAGAAGAGAGCCCCCTCGTCTGGGCACCAAAAACAGGCGGAACAAAATGTGTAGACAACATCAGCAGAGTGAAGAGACGTTGATCACTAAGCTTTCTTGCCAGTGACCCCTGCGACCACCTGAGGAAGTACCAAGAGAACAAAAGTTAAACCTTGTCTTAGTCGATAACGCTCACTCATACACGAACTCATCTCAGTAAATAAAAAGGCACAGTTTGGAGGAAAGACAGGGGTAATGATCCAATATTTCAGCCTGATTATTCAGAAGCATGAGAACCTGGAAATGGTCCGATGGACCATGACAAATCATGTGACTGACAACAAAAGGTGTGATGCAGGGTTTCAAAAGATACCCTGTGCAATTCAGCCAAATCTGTGAATCAGCTATTTAAGGCATGTCTGGAAAGCAGGATTTTCATGGGAAAGAGCTCAATTCCAACCAGAGGATTCCACATTTACAAAGGAGACCTTGGTACTCTTTTCCAGGAGTTTGTAACTCATTACAATACAAACTTTAATTTGTAAGTTTACTGACTCGCCAATATCTTGGTTAGTGCACAAAGAACATGATAAAACTGGGAAATGATAAATGGAGTGGCTAGAACATTTGAGAGGGCTAAGTGATAAAAGCGATTTTCATAATTATATGAAGTGGTAGCACACAGAAACGAATAAAAATTGTAGGGGATCAACATACATCTTTTAGTTCAACCGGGGTTTTGGCATTTTTCTCAGTCTCCCAAGAATCCAACATTGGCCTAACAACCGCTGGAAGAAATAGACCTGAAATTGCATATCATAGCATCAGATATGATCACATAAGCTATCACAGCCAAATCAGAAGATCTTACAAACCATGCACTAAATTTGCACTGTCAGAGAAACATGCAAACGGTTGGTTCATGACCTTAAAAGGCTACAACTGCCCACTGCTCAGAATGGTTATGCCCATCCAACAGCTATACTACACCACCAAAGCATGCAGTTTGATTAAACACTAGTTGGGGCACAACAGACGAAATGTTTTTGGTTTCGACAATTTATGCACTTAGTTTTTTGGTTGAAAAGTAGAATACAAAATAATTGCTGCCCACTGTTTGTGATGTTTCACACTAAATTTGACCACACTAGTTGTAAACAAAATGAATCCTGTTGCAAAGGGGAAAAAAGAACAGACACATAGAGTATATGCAATAATGGCTGTCATGCGGTCATAAACACTTCAATGAAGGAGAAACTAAGCAAACATTTGGAAGAAAATGCAATTGATATTACCGTACACCTCCAACTAAGTTCCAGTAAAACCCTTCACTATGGTTGTTCAATTTAACACACAGATTGCTGGAAAAATTCTGCTTAAGATCAACTGACAAGTATAACTAAGGAAATCATGACATGGCTAAAATACAGAGGTAACTCACACTACTTCTGAACTTTGATGAATGAACAGCAATCATGAATGTCAAGAAGTATAGAGGATACAAATAATCAATGAAGTACATCGGGTGTACACTGATAGTAATATGGTCTAGGAAATAACATTGAATTCGAGACATTAAGCCAATCTTGTTTGCAGCTAGTCCAAATGTGTTTCATATCTTAAACAGTTAAAGACACAATCTGGTTTTCTTAAGCAGTAAACAAAGTTTAAGCTGTGAGAAAGTGTGATTCAGTTTCCAAGGAAATGAATGCACATGGTCTAGCTAAGTCAGCACCCAACGCTAGGTAGTCAGCTCGTATGTGCCAATCTGTAGTCACATTTCAGTTTCATGAATGGATAGGCATAACAACAGGCGGGCCTTGTGGCTGTAGCCTATAGGTACACAGGCATAAGGGTGATGGAGTAAATCTTTGGGGACATGTATTGGTAAATAAAAACAGAAAAGTGTAGCGCAACTCAGCACATGACTACGTTTTTGGCATTAACCCCGAGCAACCCTTATCAGCCCGCACCTGTTCTGACCAAATCTAGCAGGAAGAATACAGTCGAATCATCAATCAACAATACTTATATGACCACAAGAAATGCATACTAGTACTCTTCCTTTGGCTGGAATGGAATGGATGGGTAGCAATGGTTGAATCATTATACTGATGATAGGGGCAAATGTATGCAAGGTCTAAGGTGTATAGCTCATGAATCATGAGTCACGGATCGAGCGGCAAAACTGCGATACAAGGTCTAAGGTGTATAGATCCAACAGAGTTTAGCAGGCGAAAACCACATGGAAGCGCTCAGGGCCCGCCCCATCCATCCATCCGTCCGTCCAACCGGAGGACCGATCCCCGTCCTGCGAAATCCTGGGAACCTGGCCGGGCGGGGGTGCTCAGGAGGAACGCACGCGAGGAGAAATGGAGGCTAGCGATGCGCGCGGGGGCGCGTACGGGTTGGTGGGCATAGGATGCTAGGGTTGGGGCGGGAGAGGGGGTACCGAATCCGGCGATGAGGCAGGAGGCGGCGACGACGGGCTCCTTGACGACGAAGATCTTGAGCCTGCCCATCACGCCCATGGCTGCTGCTGCTGCTCCGCGATCCCCTTTCCTTTCCTTGGTTCCTCGCCGTCGTCGCCGGACGCAGACACGGGTGGGTGGGTGGACTGGGCAGAATGGGAGAGGGAGGGGCTGAGTGAGAGAGAGATGCGTACCTCGTAGGCCCAACTTCCTTCCTTCCACCACCACCCGGGCCGCCCGCCCGCCCGCTGTAACAGCGAGAGGCCCAAAGCCCAACTTGGGTCGAACGGTGTGGTGGGTGGAGGCGCCTTCGACTGGAGGAGGCGTACTCTTCGTCTCAAAAAAAAAAAAGGAGGAGGCGTACTCGGGATTATTCCGTGCGCGCCGGCGAATATCCGCTCCCGCGACCGCGAGTGCGAATATTTGGGCGAGAAGATCCAGCGAATGTACCGTCCGCTTTCTCTCTCTCTCGCTGCTTTTGCCTTGCTTGCAGTGCACGCACGGCCACCCGCAGTCCTCTTCTTCGTCCGTCCCTGCCGCGCGTGCGCCCCTCGCTCGCTCTCTCTCCAAGCTCGTTTCAGTCGCCCGTGCCCTCGCCGCCGGTCATCCCCGCGTCGCCGCCGATCACCGCTTCACCAGGTCAGCTTATCTGCTAGTAGCAGCTTGTTATCTCCGTGCCATGTCGTGTCCTGTCCTCTGCGACATGTCAAGCCAGTTCCGGCGCGGGGCGGGGGGATTCGGAAGGTTCCCGTGCCATCGTGAAGGACAGCAGGATGATGACTCGGTGAATAGTTGAGTAGTGATGTTCATGTCCCGACGTACGTACGTGCAGCACGCGTCCTTCCTGATGTGCCGCTAGCTAGTTCCCTTGGACATACGTATCATCATATCAGCTGACGAATTCTTCTTCCTTCTTCTACGAGGA